ATTGTACCTGTAACACACTGTACTGTCTACTCATTGTACCTGTAACACTGTACACCTGTAACTGTCTACTCATTGTACCTGTAACACACTGTACTGTCTACTCATTGTACCTGTAACACACTGTACTGTCTACTCATTGTACCTGTAACACACTGTACTGTCTACTCATTGTACCTGTAACACACTGTACTGTCTACTCATTGTACCTGTAACACACTGTACTGTCTACTCATTGTACCTGTAACACAATGTACTGTCTACTCATTGTACCTGTAACACATGTAACTGTCTACTCATTGTACCCTGTCTGTACTCATACCTGTGTACCTGTAACACACACACATACTGTCTACTCATTGTACCTGTAACACAATGTACTGTAACTCATTGTACCTGTAACATACAGTACTGTCTACTCATTGTACCTGTAACACAATGTACTGTCTACTCATTGTACCTGTAACACACTATACTGTCTACTCATTGTACCTGTAACACACTCAATAATTACAATGTGTCAGGGCACAGTTAGTCTGATGTGACAGTTACCACAAACACAAACATAGAGTCACTAACTACAGGTAGTCAACTGTGTCAGTAACCACACACACACATAGAGTCACTAACTACAGGTAGTCAACTGTGTCACTAACCACACACACACACACACATAGAGTCACTTACTACAGGTAGTCAACTGTGTCAGTAACCACACACACACACACACACATAACACTGTGTAACCATACACACACACACTAACACACATAGAGTCACTAACTACAGGTAGTCAACTGTGTCAGTAACCACACACACACACACACATAGAGTCACTAACTACAGGTAGTCAACTGTGTCAGTAACACACACACACACACACATAGAGTCACTAACTACAGGTAGTCAACTGGGTCAGTAACCACACACACACACACACACAGTCACACAACTACACTGAGGTAGTCAACTGTGTCACTAACCACACACACACACACATAGAGTCACTAACTACAGGTAGTCAACTGTGTCAGTAACCACACACACACACACACACAACACACACACACACACACATAGAGTCACTAACTACAGGTAGTCAACTGTGTCAGTAACCACACACACACACACTCACACACATACACACACACACACACACACATAGAGTCACTAACTACAGGTAGTCAACTGTGTCAGTAACACACACACACACACATAGAGTCACTAACTACAGGTAGTCAACTGTGTCAGTAACACACACACACACACATAGAGTCACTAACTACAGGTAGTCAACTGTGTCAGTACACCACACACACACACATAGAGTCACTAACTACAGGTAGTCAACTGTGTCACTAACCACACACACACACACACATAGAGTCACTAACTACAGGTAGTCAACTGTGTCAGTAACCACACACACACATAGAGTCACTAACTACAGGTAGTCCACTGTGTCAGTAACACACACACACACACATAGAGTCACTAACTACAGGTAGTCAACTGTGTCACTAACCACACACACACACACATAGAGTCACTAACTACAGGTAGTCAACTGTGTCAGTAACTCTCTCACTAAACCACACACACACACACACATAGAGTCACTAACTACAGGTAGTCAACTGTGTCAGTAACCACACACACACACACACACACACATAGAGTCACTAACTACAGGTAGTCAACTGTGTCAGTAACCACACACACACACACACATAGAGTCACTAACTACAGGTAGTCAACTGTGTCAGTAACACACACACACACACACATAGAGTCACTAACTACAGGTAGTCAACTGTGTCAGTAACACACACACACACACACACATAGTCACTAACTACAGGTAGTCAACTGTGTCACTAACCACACACACACACACACATAGAGTCACTAACTACAGGTAGTCAACTGTGTCAGTAACCACACACACACACACATAGAGTCACTAACTACAGGTAGTCAACTGTGTCACTAACACACACACACACACATAGAGTCACTAACTACAGGTAGTCAACTGTGTCACTAACCACACACACATAGACACTAACTACTACAGGTAGTCAGTCACTAACCACATAACTGTGTCAGCAACCACAATACACACACAGACACACATAGTAGAGTCACTAACTACAGGTCACACACACATAGAGTCACTAACTACAGGTAGTCAACTGGGTCAGTAACCACACACACACACACACACACACACATAGAGTCACTAACTACAGGTAGTCAACTGGGTCACTAACCACACACACACAGAGTCACTAACTACAGGTATTCAACTGGGAGGCAGCTGCCACCAACCACACACGTATGTCTGTCAGTTCATGTTTAATTGCAGTAGAGGAAGACCAACAAGGAGTTCAGGTATAAAGAATAGGAAGCAATTTGAAGAAACTCTGGCTAACAGAAAAAAGGCTGTGATCAATCAGCACAAATGCTCAGCGCAGATGGCGTGTTTTCTGAAAACTTCACAATTATTTCCAAATCGCATATTTCAGTGTCAAGATGTTTGTCACTTTGAATATGCCAGATGAATGTAAAACCCCTTGTAGGTTTCCCAAGAGGCCGTTTATGGGAGCTCGTTACGGCGACATCTGAGAGATGTAGTGTCCCCAGACAGACGGAACAGCGCACAATGGGAGTAGGGGCACATGAGGCTTCAGTGCCACACAGTAATTCATGTACTCGACAGTCCAGATATACCCCCTCTCTGGTGTTGTGGGTGGAGTGTCTGACTGGAGACCTGAAGGTCCGTGGTTCAGTCCCCCACTGTGTCATACCAGCACACATTAACACGTGGTGCCAGCAGATACCCGTCCTGAGGGGAACCCCTGGCCAGGTTGGCGTGAAGTTCAGTATTTTTAGCTGGTTATCTACAACAAACCGTGGCACACAGATAGTACATAGTGTATTGACCAGAGAGTACATGTGTCTCAGTCGGTCAGCACTGTACACCCGGCATCAGTCTGGGCCAGTGGTTATATTGTATTGTCCAGAACATTTTACAGTTAGATGCTATTTTAATTCTCTATCTGTGATAATCTAGTTATTTTACTGTCCTATTACGAAATGGCTGGAATATTGCCAATCTTGACTCGCTCACTCACGCACTGAGAGAGTGGAGGCAGCCACATAATATTGAATGAGTGACTGACATCTTCTTATAATAAGGAACAGGGTCACAGTGAAACGTTTGCTGTGGACATTACATAATGTCATACCCGTGAAGATCCGGGTTAGAATATTGATCTTCAGTAACCCATGCTTGTTGTAAGAGGCGACTAACGGGATGGGGTGGTCAGGCTCGCTGACTTGGTTGACACATGTCATCGGTTCCCAGTTGCGTAGATCGATGCTCATGTTGTTGATCACTAGATTCTTTGGTCCAGACTCGATTATTTACAGACCGCCGCCATGTAGCTGGAATATTTCTAATCGCGGCGTAAAACTAAACTCACTCACTCACTCATAGCCGTATATCCACTTGAACACAACAACTGTTAATTGCCGCCATTCATAACGTAGAGGACATTCCTGTGCTGACAACAGAGTGTAGCAGGGACAGCGTTGAAGATGACCCCGCCATGGAAGGAGATGTTGATGATGTGGACGGCACGGTTTTGACTGGCTGGGATATACCAGGAGCGTACATTCCAGTAGCACTGAAATCTCTGGGATGCCAAGAGAAGCAGCTCGTTGGGCTTCCACAGCTTCTGACATCTCATCATCTGGACTTTCTTTAACTTATCCAACATATATATCGCCCCTCCCTCTTTATTAGCGTTATTCACAGTTATTACTATACACGTTATTGCAAATCAGAAAATAACCAATAGAAATGTTCAGCCTAGTAAGATCATGGTTGGATGCAGAAGTATTCATGAACTGTACTATTCCGGCGGGCAAGGAACGCTACATGTCAAATTAAGCCCAAATTGTTTCCATAGAAACAAAAGAAAGTACAAATATCTTATAAATAAAAAAACGGGAATGGTTTTTGCGCATGCTTCTTACAAATTATTGATTAGTTTGAGAGTAACTAGTTTGAGAGTAACTAGTTTGAGAGTAACTAGTTTGAGAGTAACTAGTTTGAGAGTAACTAGTTTGAGAGTAACTAGTTTGAGAGTAACTAGTTTGAGAGTAACTAGTTTGAGGATAATGTCTGGGAAACGAAGTAGAGTCTGACACTTACTCCAAACTGTTTCCAACGTAAACAGTAAATATATACATTAGAAACAATGTAAAATAACCAAGGACACTAGTTCGGCTGCTGGACAATTTCGCTGAAGACAGCTGACTGATGTTTTTGTTATGTGTCGGATCAGGACGAGAGTGCCGACGCTGACGTCTGCTCCATCACCAGCAATGTATATCCCTCACTTTGTGGAGGGGACAGGAAGACGCCTCAACCAACGCATGGTTATTTAGCTCTGTTTGATGCTGATCTAGTCAGGTTCTTCCAACAATGTGCGACTTTGGCTGAACCCTGGGTTCACCACCTCCAATATAAGCACAACATCTGTTGAAACAGTGGAAGCATTGATATCACCACCTCCACCACAGACGACAAAGTCTGTCCCGTTAACTGGGATGACATCATGGTGGATTGTCTTATCATGCTGCATTTTTGAGGCAAAGAAACATGGAAGCTGAGCCAAGGTGGCCCCTCCACCAGAACAATGCTCCGTGGCTCCATGGCTCCAACCCATAGTATACCTTGAACTCCCTGAATAATGACTTTACTTCCAAAATGAGACTCCGTTAGACTCACTCTCAGATGACAGTTGTGTAAAGTCACACATGGTATTTACCTGCAAAGGTGTACTCTCACATGACAGTTGTGTACAGTCACACATGGTGTTTACCTGCAAAGGTGTACTCTCACATGACAGTTGTGTACAGTCACACATGGTGTTTACCTGCAAAGGTGTACTCTCACATGACAGTTGTGTAAAGTCACACATGGTGTTTACCTGCAAAGGTGTACTCTCAGATGAAGGTGTACTCTCAGATGACAGTTGTGTAAAGCCGCAGATGTCACTGAAGTAGATGGTGACGTTGTCAAAGGCCTCCGCCTCCACCTGCTTGCCCCTCATGAGCTGGTCAGCTACCATTCTGTAACACACGTGTATCCTTCAGTAAACACAAGCTACATGCTGCAGCACATGCATCATTGTGTAAAATAAATGTAACTTTCTGTAAGATAAATGTAACGTCCTGTAAGATAAATGTAACGTTCTGTAAGATAAATGTAACGTTCTGTAAGATAAATGTAACGTTCTGTAAGATAAATGTAACGTTCTGTAAGATAAATGTAACTTTCTGTAAGATAAATGTAAGATAAGATAAATGTAACGTTCTGTAAGATAAATGTAACGTTAAATGTAACGTTCTGTAAGATAAATGTAACGTTCTGTAAGATAAATGTAACTTTCTGTAAGATAAATGTAACGTTCTGTAAGATAAATGTAACGTTCTGTCAAATGTAATAAATGTAACTTTCCTGTAAAAGATAAATGTAAGATAAATGTAACTTTCTGTAAGATAAATGTAACGTTCTGTAAGTAAGATAAATGTAACGTTCAACTTTCTGTAAGATAAACGTAACGTTCTGTAAGATAAATGTAACTTTCTGTAAGATAAATGTAACTTTCTGTAAGATAAATGTAACTTTCTGTAAGATAAATGTAACTTTCTGTAAGATAAATGTAACTTTCTGTAAGATAAATGTAACGTTCTGTAAGATAAATGTAACGTTCTGTAAGATAAATGTAGCTTTCTGTAAGATAAATGTAGCTTTCTGTAAGATAAATGAAACGTTCTGTAAGATAAATGTAACTTTCTGTAAGGTAAATGTAACGTTCCGTAAGATAAATGTAGCTTTCTGTAAGATAAATGTAGCTTTCTGTAATATAAATTATCATGTGTAACATTTGTAGTACATGTATTATTTCTGTAAAACAATGTAACATTATGTGATACGCATGTAATGTCATGTAATTCAAGCATTGCTTTAGTTGGGAGTTAAGTAGTAAAATGTCACCTTCACAGCATGTACTTGAAGATGATGAAACTAATTTTGACCAGTTTCTCTCTACAACATTTAGATCTGACCTCGACAGAAGTGGGTCAGGCACACCCACGTTTTCTTTACGTGATAAATGATCTGCCGATCTGCAGGTCTGACAGAGACCCGCGGAAGACGCCATGATGTACACCACAACCCATTGACGAGGCACAGGTGGAGTCTTGGACATAGGTGATGGATATTCTACTGATGTATAAGGTGCCGGGTCTGCAGGGACACTGGAATGTCCCCAGGGTACAGTAGAGACCCAGGACTGTGGGAGGAACTATATGATTCGCCCCGACTCGGTTTCCAGCTTTGGCAGCACCAGCTCTGTACTCGTAGAAAAGGTTTAGAGCCTGCGTCATTTCGGGTTTTCCACCTTCATCAATCTGACACGTCGTGCTCTAACTGTGTTCGAAACCATGATGGTGTAAGACGTAGTTTAGCTATTTGTTATGAACAGAATGTTTTAAGAAATTCACATAAAATGTCAGCTAACCCCGATCACCTTTTAAGAAAGAGCATGCACTAATTCCTTCTAGTGGCGGTGTTTATTACGCTAATAAATAAACAGAGCTGGTAATCCGTTATGCACAAACAGAGCTGGTAATCCGACATATTCCATTATACAGCAGGCGACTGTTTTTGACAAAACAATCCCATGTATATTGAGACATGGACCCAGCGCCCGTCATACATCCACAGACGCTGTGTATCTCTTGGATCGATGTGTGTAGATGGGGACCAGGTAGCCCACGTCATACATCCACAGACGCTGTGTATCTCCTAGATCGATGTGTGTAGATGGGGACCAGGTAGCCCACGAATCCTTGTGATGGGACTGTCACGGATGTTAATCTGATCCTAATGAATGTCACGTCGTATAATAGCGTATTGTCACGAACGTTTGTTATCGTGTTACATCAACTCTACATACTTCCCTGCATATGCCCGTGGCTATGGCGGACAAGAGGATTCAGTGTAATGCGGCATGTAATATAGTGCACCAGATATGAGCCATGTTCGCCAGTTCTTCTGTAATCCTTTGATAACCACAGATGATCGATTTCCAGGGAATCAAAGGTTATAAACTTGAACTTTGTCAGTCATGAAGATAGCGATTTCCAGCAGGCAGTCGGAGCTCAGCTCTGGGAGCTTTTTACTTGCCGCTTTATACTTAAAAGGGCTATTAGTCAATAAGTTAATTCAATGTACTTCTTCGTCCATAATAACACGCAAACAACGTAAAAGTCTTTTATTCTGCTTTTAGATGAAATCAATATAAAACTTCTATGTAAAGCCTGTCGACTGCAGCCTCCGACGTAACTCAGGCCGTGGCAGGAGACGTCGCAGTTGCTGGCGACACTGGGAGGCTTTAATCACTTGTCCCTTCAACCATATCACATCACGATCTCTTCCCCTGATCAGTCAACCATTTGTACTGTCCATTGTAACTGGCTCATATTGGGTAACTTCTGCCTATTTATAGGTATACTTTGCCAAATTGAAGTAGACTCGCTTTAATAGGCCGGTAATGATGCCAGTTGAGTCTCTGGACTCGCATATCAAAGGGAGTTCTTCAACGCAAACGTGTCAAATAATTTCCACTGCTTAATGTGTAATTCTTGCTGAGCTCGGTACATTTCAGTGTTGCTGTTGATTGTAATTGTTGCTGAGCTCGGTACATTTCAATGTTGCTGTTGATTGTAATTGTTGCTGAGCTCGGTACATTTCAGTGTTGATGTTGGTGGTTATTGTTGCTGAGCTCGGTACATTTCAGCGTTGCTGTTGATTGTAATTCTTGCTGAGCTCGGTACATTTCAGTGTTGATGTTGATTGTAATTGTTGCTGAGCTCGGTACATTTCAGCGTTGCTGTTGATTGTAATTCTTGCTGAGCTCGGTACATTTCAGTGTTGCTGTTGATGGTAATTGTTGCTGAGCTCGGTACATTTCAGTGTTGCTGTTGATTGTAATTCTTGCTGAACTCGGTACATTTCAGTGTTGATGTTGATGGTAATTGTTGCTAAGCTCGGTACATTTCAGTGTTGACGTTGATGGCAACTGTAGATCACCACCTCAGTGTGTTAGAGAACACATCTTCCAGACAGACGTATTGCATGATGGGTGACTGTGAAACCCTTCCCCATGTTTGTAGAGTAAGGTTGCACGGCGTTCTTAAAATGTACATGGAAACCTACACCGTGAAGGTGTGTCGTGTTTACACTGAACTGACAACAAAGCTTTAGTTCCAATCCAGCGGGTATATGTATATGCGGCTCCTAATAACAACGAGCAGTATATCTCTGCAGTCCATAAAGTGAGACTAAACTGGCCTGTCTTTCCTTCATGTGTGCTGGTGAAGGATTCTAAAAGCACATATAATGAAGTAATCCATCCTGGTAATGTTCACATTGTTTTTGCAGCCAATTAGGGCCTCGAGAGGCAGAACACTCAGTCAGTCGGAGTATTGACAAACACCGAGACATGCATTCCGATCACAACAAGAATGGCTGCCAGTAGCGCGGTAGATACTTTAGCTGCCTATTATGTGGCACTAATCTACATAAACAACGACAACAGAATTACACTTTAATGTCCTCTCCCTTGACTGACAAATATTGATATGGATTCCAATTACGACAAGAACACTCAGATTGGGCTAATTATCCGCCAGTGTATGTGGGAGTTGGGCGGGATGGTGGTAGTGGGGACGGTGATGGCTAGCAGATGGTGGGTCGTTTGTGCAACGTGCGGCTTGACCATGTTTCTGACAACGTCACGGAGACGTCAGGTGGCCGAAGTTGGTGAGTCGCGTCTTCGTAGCGGTCAAGAACGCTGTGTTAGTGGGCTCGCTTGCCCGATTCACAGAGACTGGATCTGTGTTTGCCAGCGCCGTTCTCGTAGCCTTCACAAAGGTGGTCAACGTTTGAGACAAACGTCAGACAATCACCCTTGACTGTCCTCCCACTGGTGGGTTTCTCCAAGGTGGCCAACGTTTGAGACTGTCCTTCCACATAAACTTGACAAGCCGTGATATAAATGACACACCATGATATAACTGACACACTGTGATATAACTGACACACCATGATATAACTGACACACTGTGTTAACACTGACACACTGTGATATAACTGACACACTGTGTTAAAACTGACACACTGTGTTAAAACTGACACACTGTGATATAACTGACACACTGTGACATAACTGACACACTGTGATATAACTGACACACTGTGATATAACTGACACACTGTGATATAACTGACACACTGTGATATAACTGACACACTGTAATATAACTGACACGCTGTGATATACGCATGATATAACTGACATACCATGATATAACTGACACACCGTGATGTTGACACGCTGTGACATAACTGATAACTGTAATATAACTGACACACTGTTATATAACGGACACACCATGATATAACTGACACACCATGATATAACTGACACACTGTGTTATAACTGACAAACAATAATATAACTGACACACTGTGACATAACTGACACACTGTGATATAACTGACACACTGTGACATAACTGACACACTGTGACATAACTGACACACTGTTATATAACTGACACGCTGTGATATAACTGACACGCTGCGATTTAACTGATTCACTGTGACATAACTGACACTGCGACATAACTGACACACTGTGATATAACTGACACGCTGTGATATAACTGATACACTGTGATATAACTGACACACTGTGACATAACTGACACACCATGATATAACTGACACACTGTGATATAACTGACACTGACATAACTGACACATTGTTATATAACTGACACACCTATATACCTGACACGCCGTGATATAACTGACATACCATGATATAACGGACACACCATGATATAACTGACATACTGTGACATAACTGACACATTGTTATATAACTGACACACTATGATGTAAGTGACACACTGTGATATAACTGACACACTGTGACATAACTGACACACGATGATATAACTGACACACTGAGATATAACTGACACTGTGACATAACTGACACATTGTTATATAACTGACACACCTATATACCTGACACGCCGTGATATAACTGACATACCATGATATAACTGACACACCGTGATATAACTGACACACCATGATATAACTGACACACTGTGACATAACTGACACACTGTGATATAACTGACACGCTGTGATATAACTGACACACTGTGACATAACTGACACACTGTGACATAACTGACACACTGTGATATAACTGACACGCTGTGATATAACTGACACACCATGATATAACTGACACACCATGATATAACTGACACACTGTGATATAGCTGACACACTGTGTTATAACTGACACACAATGATATAACTGACACACTGTGACATAACTGACACACTGTGATATAACTGACACGCTGTGACATAACTGACACACTGTTATATAACTGACACACCATGATATAACTGACACACTGTGTTATAACTGACACACAATGATATAACTGACACACTGTGATATAACTGACACACTGTGATATAACTGACACGCTGTGTTATAACTGACACACTGTGACATAACTGACACACTGTTATATAACTGACACACCATGATATAACTGACACACCATGATGTAACTGACACACGGGTCAGACTGTATGAAAGCTACCTGACCCAGTGACTTAATATCCTGTCAAAATGTGACGGAAAGTAACTACCAAAGCAGAATCCCGCTTGATCCCCCTTACAGTGACCAAGACTAGTAACTGTAGAATGACATCATTGCACAGGATCACTGCTGACATCATGTGACAGGATGATACCGTTACTATCGGCACGGCAAGACAAGGCGTGGTGAGTGCATGATGCCAGCACAATGTATCACTTTCTTCTAGCCAGAGCCGCACCTTCCATCCTGACAGACTACGCTGGGTCCGCCAGCCTCTCAACGTATGCATGGGGGGATTACAGGTTGTACATTCAGGCGCTTTGAACCTGGCTACTTAACACCAATCCCCGGCCTTCCTGTAGGCTCACTAATACTCTGTTTACCACTTCACTCGGGAGCTAATACACCCATATCCACTGTTTCTCAAAAGGCATTTCCAGAAAGGTGGAACTATACTTCCAAATGAAGCTGTAAGTATCTCGCAGTAATAAGATATCTGCAGTTTCAAACAGTCGTGAGGCAGCCATCACGTAAAGTACGGCAACGTCCGGACAGAGAACGGCCATATCAAGATGGAGGACGGCTATATCAAGATGGAGGACGGCTATATCAAGACGGAGGACGGCCATATCAAGAGGGAGGACGGCTATATCAAGAGGGAGGACGGCTATATCAAGATGGAGGACGGCCATATCAAGAGGGAGGACGGCTATATCAAGACAGAGGACGGCCATATCAAGATTGAGGACGGCTATATCAAGATGGAGGACGGCCATATCAAGAGGGAGGACGGCTATATCAAGCTGGAGGACGGCCATATCAAAATGGAGTACGGCCATATCAAAATATCAAAATGGAGAACGGCCATTTCAAGATGGAGGTCGGCTATACAAGATGGGGGACGGCTATCTCAAAATAGAGGACGGCCATATCAAGATGGAGACGGACATTTCAAGACAAGGTACGGTTATATCAAGATGGAAGACGGCTATATCAAGATGGGGGACGGCTATATCAAGATAGAGGACGGCTATATCAAGATGGATGACGGCCATATCAAGATAGAGGACGGCTGTATCAAGATGGAGACGGCCATTTCAAGACGGAGTACGGCTATATCAAGACGGAGGATGGCCATATCAAAATGGAGAATTTTACATTTACATAAATCATGATGGTGTATAAGTCTTCATTGACAGGTATATATGATGACGTATATGTAAACCTTGACAGGTATATATGATGACGTATATGTGTACCTGACAGGTATATATGATGACGTATATGTGTACCTTGACAGGTATATATGATGACGTATATGTGTACCTGACAGGTTTATATGATGACGTGTATGTCTGCCTTGACAGGTATATATGATGACGTATATGTGTACCTTGACAGGTATATATGCTGACGTATATGTGTACCTTGACAGGTATATATGATGACGTATATGTGTACCTTGACAGGTATATATGATGACGTATATGTGCACTTTGACAGGTATATATGATGACGTATATGTGTACCTTGACAGGTATATATGATGACGTATATGTGTACCTTGACAGGTATATATGATGACGTATATGTGCACCTTGACAGGTATATATGATGACGTATATGTGTACCTTGACAGGTATATATGATGACGTATATGTGCACCTTGACAGGTATATATGATGACGTATATGTGCACCTTGACAGGTATATATGATGACGTATATGTGTACCTTGACAGGTATATATGATGACGTATATGTGTACCTTGACAGGTATATATGATGACGTATATGTGCACCTTGACAGGTATATATGATGACGTATATGTGCACCTTGACAGGTATATATGATGACGTATATGTCTACCTTGGCAGCATCTGATGAAGCAGCTCTTCTGTCTTCTTCTTCTCTTCTATCAGCTGGTCAGTCCGCTCCTCTACAAGAGCCTCAAGGTTATCTGCATATTTCTCCATAATTGCAAGCATGTTGTCGAAGATATTGGATTTCCTGAAATTTACACAAAGCAATTAGATGTGAAACCAACAATTTGGCGCTCGTGTTTCATGAACCCTCTTATTTGAGACGTCAGGAAATTGCTTGAAGCAGGTGCTCCCAGCAGGGGCAACATGGCACCACCTGACGTCATTACAATCTGATTTCTGCCGCACTATATTTTTTGAAACTAACTGAGTTATGGACATGTTCACGTTGGAAGCCGACGCAGTTGTCCCTGTAGATTCAGTAGCATGCGGAAAGGCCTAATGGGAAGTCACACTATTAAATGCCAAAACGAAGAACAGAATCGATCAGTTCTAATGATATGAATTCCTCGACAGGTTTACAGTTTACAATACCCATTGAGCGAGTTGTGTGAAAGCAGTGATGGTGCTTTGTGTTTAGCTAAAAGGTATTTGCTATGTTAAATTGCATTACATTAGCAGCTACAGACAGTATAGATAGGTGACGACTTCACACCAGACAGCCAACACTTCCACACACTCGGACGAACCACAGATAGACCTAAAGAAAATGTTCCAACATGTGTTAAAGTAAATATGACACTTACAAAGTGTTTCGCGGTTTGGGAGGTGTTGGGCGTATTGCTTGCTGGGATCAGCTTTGTGAAGACGGAGATGGCGACACTATTACATAGAAGGACACACACAGATACACACACAACAGAGAGACACACACAAATACATACCACAGACACACATATTCGCAAGCGTGTCACTCACACGTATACACATGCAGATACACTGGCGCATACACATACACACACACACATACACACCAACCCGCACAGGCAGACAGATGTACAGACAGACACACACAGAGACACACAGACACACATACACACCAACCCGCACAGGCAGACAGATGGACAGACAGACACACACAGAGACACACAGACACACACATACACACCAACCCGCACAGGCAGACAGATGGATAGACATAGACAGACACACAGAGACACACAGACACACACACACACACACACACACACAGACACATAGATAGATAGACAGACACACACACACACACAGAGACACACCCAGATACACAGACACACCAACCCGCACAGGCAGACAGATGGATAGATAGACAGACACACACACACACAGACACACAGAGACAGATGGACAGACACACACACAGACACCCACACAGACATACACATACACACCAACCCGCATAGGCAGACAGATGGATAGATAGATAGACAGACAGACAGACACACACACACACACACACACACACACACACACACATCAACCCGCACAGGCAGATAGGTAGATAGATAGACACACACAGAGACACAAACAGAGACACACACACACACACATAGACACACAGACAGACACACACATACACACTCAGGCAGACTGATGGACAGACGCACACACAGACACACACACACCAACCCGTACAGGCAGACAGATGGATAGACACACAGACAGACACACTAAGGCAGACCGACCCACACAGGCAGACAGATGGGTGGACAGACAAACACACTCTCTCTATGACTTTAACATGTACCCTAACATGTCCCCTAAAATCTCCATACACACTCAGACAGACAGATGGACAGACAGACAAACACACTCTCTCTATGACTTTAACATGTACCCTAACATGTCCCCTGACATGTACCCTAACATGTCCCCTAACATGTACCCTAACATGTCCCCTAACATGTCCCCTAACATGTCCCCTAACATAACATGTCCCCTGTACCCACTCTCTCTAAACATGTACCCCCCCTAACATGTCCCCTGACATCCCCTACCCTAACATGTCCCCTAGCATGTACCCTAACATGTCCCCTAACCCTAACATGTAACCCTAAAACATGTCCACCTAACATGTCCCCTAACATGTCCCCTAACATGTACACTCCTACCCTAACATAACCCCTAACATGTCCCCTGACTTTAAAATCTCCATGTCCCCAGACATGTACAGACCAAACACCTAACATGTCCCCTAACATGTACCCTCAGACAGACCCTAACATGTACCCTAACATGTCCCCTAACATGTACCCTAACATGTACCTAACATGTCCCCTAACATGTCTCTATGACCCACTAACATGACAAACCCCTAACATGTCCCCCTAACATGTCCCCTAACATGTCCCCTAACATGTCCCTACATGTCAGACAGACCCACACATGTACCCCCTAACATGTACCCTAACATACCCCTAACCCCTAACATCTACACTAGACATGATGGACTAACATGTACCCTAACATGTATGCCCTAACATGTACCCTTACATGTACCCTTACATGTCCCCAAAAATCTCCATACACACTCAGACAGACAGATGGACAGACAGACAAACACACTCTCTCTATGACTTTAACATGTACCCTAACATGTACCCTAAAATCTCCATACACACTCAGACAGACAGATGGACAGACAGACAAACACACTCTCTCTATGACTTTAACATGTACCCTAACATGTACTCCTAACATGTGTACCCTAACATGTCCCCTCCATACACACTCAGACAGACAGATGGACAGACAGACAAACACACTCTCTCTATGACTTTAACATGTACCCTAACATGTACCCTAAAATCTCCATACACACTCAGACAGACAGATGGACAGACAGACAAACACACTCTCTCTATGACTTTAACATGTACCCTAACATGTACCCTAAAATCTCCATACACACTCAGACAGACAGATGGACAGACAGACAAACACACTCTCTCTATGACTTTAACATGTACCCTAACATGTACCCTAAAATCTCCATACACACTCAGACAGACAGATGGACAGACAGACAAACACACTCTCTCTATGACTTTAACATGTACCCTAACATGTCCCCAGACAGACAGATGGACAGACAGACAAACACACTCTCTCTATGACTTTAACATGTACCCTAACATGTCCCCTGACATGTACCCTAACATGTACCCTAAAATCTCCATACACAAAATAACCCTAAAATTAATTAAATCTGCCCCTCAAAGAAATATATGCCTGCAATGGGACCCCAAAAGATACGGATATAATGGACCCCTAAAACTAATACGTACATCCCTTTCTGCATGGGCTTTAGTTTGGACCGGATCTCCTTGAAGTCCGGGCGTTTGAAGGGGTCTTCGTCCCAGCACTCCTTGATCAGATCCGTGATGAACTTGTGGGTGTGGCCCAGCTGGGACAGGTGGGGTCGGAAGGGAACTCCATTGTAAGTAAACTTAATCCTCTCAACAATTTCTGCAAAGAGAACGCATATACCCAAACACGTGAGTTTGTGGGGGCGGCAGTGTATGAGGAGGACACAATAATTACACGATAAACGCCGACAACGAGAGATCGATCGTTCACTTGTTTACTCGGTGTAATCAAAAAGGACAACGAATTTTCCTTTTTCGTTCAATTCTTCACAGAGCAGTCTCTCGATATATTTAAGTGTTGTCTGTAATTGTGTTTCATTGTGCAACTGTCTAGTGAAGTGCGTCTTGAAGCCATCTCATATCACCGGGATTACTTGGATGAACAAACCATTTAAATATAGTTTAACGACTTCCGAGGCGTTATATCGATTACACAACGACCTTGGTGAGACGGGGAACAAAACGGAACCTGTCATTCCAGCACTGCGTGGCGATCCACGGATACACCTAATACCATGTCATATTAGTATGTTAACTACCATCCTATTGTAACATACTAAACCAATACATTACATTCAGATGCTGTCCGATGTACTGATCAAACACTATATGCTGCATTCGCCGTGACATCGCCGTGACATTATTAGACGTCCCAACAAGCCAGACTGCCGTCTGATAGTTCTGATCAAGCAGGATACAATCATATGGCGTCGTGTACGTGATACAATGCAAGACGTTGAAAGTGATTCTCTACATGAAAGATACTTACTTTGTATCTATGAAGAAAACATCCGTTGCTTTAAGTGTTGAACGGGAATACTAAGAAGCGGAAAGCTAGACAACAGAACGCAAGACTGTACCTTGAGGGGAAAGCTAGACAACAGAATGCAAGACTGTACCTTGAGGGGAAAGCTAGACAACAGAATGCAAGACTGTACCTTGAGGGGAAAGCTAGACAACAGAATGCAAGACTGTACCTTGAGGGGAAAGCTAGACAACAGAACGCAAGACTGTACCTTGAGGGGATAGCTAGACAACAGAACTCAAGACTGTACCTTGAGGGGAAAGCTAGATAACAGGATGCAAGACTGTACCTTGAGGGGAAAGCTAGACAACAGAATGCAAGACTGTACCTTGAGGGGAAAGCTAGACAACAGAATGCAAGACTGTACTTGAGGGAAAGCTAGACAACAGAACGGAAGACTGTACCTTGAGGGGAAAGCTAGACAACAGAACTCAAGACTGTACCTTGAGGGGAAAGCTAGATAACAGGATGCAAGACTGTACCAAGCTAGAGACAACAACTCAAGACTGTACCTTGAGGGGAAAGCTAGACAACAGAATGCAAGACTGTACCTTGAGGGGAAAGCTAGACAACAGAATGCAAGACTGTACCTTGAGGGGAAAGCTAGACAACAGAACGGAAGACTGTACCTTGAGGGGATAGCTAGACAACAGAACTCAAGACTGTACCTTGAGGGAAAGCTAGACAACAGAACGCAAGACGCAAGACTGTACCTTGAGGGGATAGCTAGACAACAGAACTCAAGACTGTACCTTGAGGGGAAAGCTAGATAACAGGATGCAAGACTGTACCTTGAGGGGAAAGCTAGACAACAGAACGGAAGACTGTACCTTGAGGGGATAGCTAGACAACAGAACTCAAGACTGTACCTTGAGGGGAAAGCTAGATAACAGGATGCAAGACTGTACCTTGAGGGGAAAGCTAGATAACAGGATGCAAGACTGTACCTTGAGGGGATAGCTAGACAACAGAACGGAAGACTGTACCTTGAGGGGATAGCTAGACAACAGAATGCAAGACTGTACCTTGAGGGGAAAACTAGACAACAGAACGGAAGACTGTACCTTGAGGGGATAGCCAGACAACAGAACTCAAGACTGTACCTTGAGGGGAAAGCTAGATAACAGGATGCAAGACTGTACCTTGAGGGGATAGCCAGACAACAGAACTCAAGACTGTACCTTGAGGGGATAGCTAGACAACAGAACTCAAGACTGTACCTTGAGGGGATAGCTAGACAACAGAATGGAAGACTGTACCTTGAGGGGAAAGCTAGACAACAGAACGGAAGACTGTACCTTGAGGGGATAGCCAGACAACAGAACTCAAGACTGTACCTTGAGGGGAAAGCTAGACAACAGAACGGAAGACTGTACCTTGAGGGGATAGCTAGACAACAGAACACAAGACTGTACCTTGAGGGGAAAGCTAGACAACAGGATGCAAGACTGTACCTTGAGGGGAAAGCTAGACAACAGAACGGAAGACTGTACCTTGAGGGGAAAGCTAGACAACAGAACGCAAGACTGTACCTTGAGGGGAAAGCTAGACAACAGAATGCAAGACTGTACCTTGAGGGGAAAGCTAGACAACAGAATGCAAGACTGTACCTTGAGGGGAAAGCTAGACAACAGAATGCAAGACTGTACCTTGAGGGGAAAGCTAGACAACAGAACGGAAGACTGTACCTTGAGTAAGGATAGCTAGACAACAGAACGGAAGACTGTACCTTGAGGGGATAGCTAGACAACAGAACTCAAGACTGTACCTTGAGGGGATAGCTAGATAACAGGATGCAAGACTGTACCTTGAGGGGAAAGCTAGACAACAGAACGGAAGACTGTACCTTGAGGGGAAAGCTAGACAACAGAATGCAAGACTGTCCCTTGAGGGGAAAGCTAGACAACAGAACACAAGACTGTACCTTGAGGGGAAAGCTAGACAACAGAACGCAAGACTGTACCTTGAGGGGAAAGCTAGACAACAGAACACAAGACTGTACCTTGAGGGGAAAACTAGACAACAGAACGCAAGCCTGTACCTTGAGGGGAAAGCTAGACAACAGAACGCAAGACTGTACCTTGAGGGGATAGCTAGACAACAGAACTCAAGACTGTACCTTGAGGGGATAGCTAGACAACAGAACGCAAGACTGTACCTTGAGGGGAAAACTAGACAACAGAATGCAAGACTGTACCTTGAGGGGAAAGCTAGACAACAGAACACAAGACTGTACCTTGAGGGGAAAGCTAGACAACAGAATGCAAGACTGTACCTTGAGGGGAAAGCTAGACAACAGAACGCAAGACTGTACCTTGAGGGGATAGCTAGACAACAGAACTCAAGACTGTACCTTGAGGGGATAGCTAGACAACAGAACTCAAGACTGTACCTTGAGGGGATAGCTAGACAACAGAACGCAAGACTGTACCTTGAGGGGAAAACTAGACAACAGAATGCAAGACTGTACCTCGAGGGGAAAGCTAGACAACAGAACTCAAGACTGTACCTTGAGGGGAAAGCTAGACAACAGAATGCAAGACTGTACCTTGAGGGGAAAACTAGACAACAGAATGCAAGACTGTACCTTGAGGGGAAAGCTAGACAACAGAACGCAAGACTGTACCTTGAGGGGATAGCTAGACAACAGAACTCAAGACTGTACCTTGAGGGGAAAGCTAGATAACAGGATGCAAGACTGTACCTTGAGGGGAAAGCTAGACAACAGAACGGAAGACTGTACCTTGAGGGGATAGCTAGACAACAGAACTCAAGACTGTACCTTGAGGGGAAAGCTAGATAACAGGATGCAAGACTGTACCTTGAGGGGAAAGCTAGATAACAGGATGCAAGACTGTACCTTGAGGGGATAGCTAGACAACAGAACGGAAGACTGTACCTTGAGGGGATAGCTAGACAACAGAATGCAAGACTGTACCTTGAGGGGAAAACTAGACAACAGAACGGAAGACTGTACCTTGAGGGGATAGCTAGACAACAGAACTCAAGACTGTACCTTGAGGGGAAAGCTAGATAACAGGATGCAAGACTGTACCTTGAGGGGATAGCCAGACAACAGAACTCAAGACTGTACCTTGAGGGGATAGCTAGACAACAGAACTCAAGACTGTACCTTGAGGGGATAGCTAGACAACAGAATGGAAGACTGTACCTTGAGGGGAAAGCTAGACAACAGAACGGAAGACTGTACCTTGAGGATGCAAGACTTACCTTGGGGGATAGCCAGACAACAGAACTCAAGACTGTACCTTGTGGGGAAAGCTAGACAACAGAACGGAAGACTGTACCTTGAGGGGATAGCTAGACAACAGAACTCAAGACTGTACCTTGAGGGGAAAGCTAGATAACAGGATGCAAGACTGTACCTTGAGGGGAAAGCTAGACAACAGAACGCAAGACTGTACCTTGAGGGGAAAGCTAGACAACAGAACGCAAGACTGTACCTTGAGGGGAAAGCTAGACAACAGAATGCAAGACTGTACCTTGAGGGGAAAGCTAGACAACAGAATGCAAGACTGTACCTTGAGGGGAAAGCTAGACAACAGAATGCAAGACTGTACCTTGAGGGGAAAGCTAGACAACAGAACGCAAGACTGTACCTTGAGAGGATAGCTAGACAACAAAACGGAAGACTGTACCTTGAGGGGATAGCTAGACAACAGAACTCAAGACTGTACCTTGAGGGGAAAGCTAGATAACAGGATGCAAGACTGTACCTTGAGGGGAAAGCTAGACAACAGAACAGAACAGAACACAAGACTGTACCTTGAGGGGAAAGCTAGACAACAGAATGCAAGACTGTCCCTTGAGGGGAAAGCTAGACAACAGAACACAAGACTGTACCTTGAGGGGAAAGCTAGACAACAGAAGCAAGACTGTACCTTGAGGGAAAGCTAGACAACAGAACACAAGACTGTACCTTGAGGGGAAAGCTAGACAACAGAACACAAGACTGTACCTTGAGGGGAAAGCTAGACAACAGAACGCAAGACTGTACCTTGAGGGGATAGCTAGACAACAGAACTCAAGACTGTACCTTGAGGGGATAGCTAGACAACAGAACGCAAGACTGTACCTTGAGGGGAAAACTAGACAACAGAACTCAAGACTGTACCTTGAGGGGAAAGCTAGACAACAGCTAGAACTCAAGACTGTACCTTGAGGGAAAGCTAGACAACAGAACACAAGACTGTACCTTGAGGGGAAAGCTAGACAACAGAACAAGACTGTACCTTGAGGGGAAAGCTAGACAACAGAATGCAAGACTGTACCTTGAGGGGAAAGCTAGACAACAGAACGAACACAAGACTGTACCTTGAGGGGATAGCTAGACAACAGAACTCAAGACTGTACCTTGAGGGGAAAGCTAGACAACAGGATGCAAGACTGTACCTTGAGGGGAAAGCTAGACAACAGAACGGAAGACTGTACCTTGAGGGGAAAGCTAGACAACAGAATGCAAGACTGTCCCTTGAGGGGAAAGCTAGACAACAGAACACAAGACTGTACCTTGAGGGGAAAGCTAGACAACAGAACGCAAGACTGTACCTTGAGGGGAAAGCTAGACAACAGAACACAAGACTGTACCTTGAGGGGAAAGCTAGACAACAGAACGCAAGACTGTACCTTGAGGGGAAAGCTAGACAACTAGACAACAGAAACAAGACTGTAAGCTAGACAACAGAACGCAAGACTGTACCTTGAGGGGATAGCTAGACAACAGAACTCAAGACTGTACCTTGAGGGGATAGCTAGACAACAGAACGCAAGACTGTACCTTGAGGGGAAAACTAGACAACAGAATGCAAGACTGTACCTTGAGGGGAAAGCTAGACAACAGAACTCAAGACTGTACCTTGAGGGGAAAGCTAGACAACAGAATGCAAGACTGTACCTTGAGGGGAAAGCTAGACAACAGAACGCAAGACTGTACCTTGAGGGGATAGCTAGACAACAGAACTCAAGACTGTACCTTGAGGGGATAGATAGACAACAGAACTCAAGACTGTACCTTGAGGAGATAGCTAGACAACAGAACGCAAGACTGTACCTTGAGGGGAAAACTAGACAACAGAATGCAAGACTGTACCTTGAGGGGAAAGCTAGACAACAGAACTCAAGACTGTACCTTGAGGGGAAAGCTAGACAACAGAATGCAAGAGTGTACCTTGAGGGGAAAACTAGACAACAGAATGCAAGACTGTACCTTGAGGGGAAAGCTAGACAACAGAACGCAAGACTGTACCTTGAGGGGATAGCTAGACAACAGAACGGAAGACTGTACCTTGAGGGGATAGCTAGACAACAGAACACAAGACTGTACCTTGAGGGGAAAGCTAGACAACAGAACGCAAGACTGTACCTTGAAGGGAAAGCTAGACAACAGAACGGAAGACTGTACCTTGAGGGGAAAGCTAGACAACAGAATGCAAGACTGTACCTTGAGGGGAAAACTAGACAACAGAATGCAAGACTGTACCTTGAGGGGAAAGCTAGACAACAGAACACAAGACTGTACCTTGAGGGGAAAGCTAGACAACAGAACACAAGACTGTACCTTGAGGGGAAAGCTAGACAACAGAACACAAGACTGTACCTTGAGGGGATAGCTAGACAACAGAACTCAAGACTGTACCTTGAGGGGATAGCTAGACAACAGAACTCAAGACTGTACCTTGAGGGGAAAGCTAGACAACAGAACACAAGACTGTACCTTGAGGGGATAGCTAGACAACAGAACACAAGACTGTACCTTGAGGGGATAGCTAGACAACAGAACACAAGACTGTACCTTGAGGGGAAAGCTAGACAACAGAACGCAAGACTGTACCTTGAGGGGAAAGCTAGACAACAGAACACAAGACTGTACCTTGAGGGAAAACTAGACAACAGAATGCAAGACTGTACCTTGAGGGGAAAGCTAGACAACAGAACACAAGACTGTACCTTGAGGGGAAAGCTAGACAACAGAACACAAGACTGTACCTTGAGGGGAAAGCTAGACAACAGAACACAAGACTGTACCTTGAGGGGATAGCTAGACAACAGAACTCAAGACTGTACCTTGAGGGGATAGCTAGACAACAGAACTCAAGACTGTACCTTGAGGGGATAGCTAGACAACAGAACGCAAGACTGTACCTTGAGGGGATAGCTAGACAACAGAACACAAGACTGTACCTTGAGGGGATAGCTAGACAACAGAACACAAGACTGTACCTTGAGGGGAAAGCTAGACAACAGAACACAAGACTGTACCTTGAGGGGAAAGCTAGACAACAGAATGCAAGACTGTACCTTGAGGGGAAAGCTAGACAACAGAATGCAAGACTGTACCTTGAGGGGAAAGCTAGACAACAGGATGCAAGACTGTACCTTGAGGGGATAGCTAGATAACAGGATGCAAGACTGTACCTTGAGGGGATAGCTAGACAACAGAACACAAGACTGTACCTTGAGGGGAGAGCTAGACAACAGAACCCAAGACTGTACCTTGAGGGGAGAGCTAGACAACAGAACCCAAGACTGTACCTTGAGGGGAAAGCTAGATAACAGAATGCAAGACTGTACCTTGAGGGGAAAACTAGACAACAGGATGCAAGACTGTACCTTGAGGGGATAGCTAGATAACAGGATGCAAGACTGTACCTTGAGGGGATAGCTAGACAACAGAACACAAGACTGTACCTTGAGGGGAAAGCTAGACAACAGAACGCAAGACTGTACCTTGAGGGGAAAGCTAGACAACAGAACGCAAGACTGTACCTTGAGGGGAGAGCTAGACAACAGAACGGAAGACTGTACCTTGAGGGGAGAGCTAGACAACAGAACACAAGACTGTACCTTGAGGGGAGAGCTAGACAACAGAACACAAGACTGTACCTTGAGGGGAAAGCTAGACAACAGAACACAAGACTGTACCTTGAGGGGAAAGCTAGACAACAGAACACAAGACTGTACCTTGAGGGGAGAGCTAGACAACAGAACTCCAAGAACAGAAGACAACAGAACGGAAGATTGTACCTTGAGGGGGATAGCTAGACAACAGAACACAAGACTGTACCTTGAGGGGATAGCTAGACAACAGAACACAAGACTGTACCTTGAGGGGAAAGCTAGACAACAGAACACAAGACTGTACCTTGCTAGGGGCTACCTGTACCTTGGGGAGAGCTAGACAACAGAACACAAGACTGTACCTTGAGGGGATAGCTAGACAACAGAACACAAGACTGTACCTTGAGGGGAAAGCTAGACAACAGAACACAAGACTGTACCTTGAGGGGAGAGCTAGACAACAGAACACAAGACTGTACCTTGAGGGGAAAGCTAGACAACAGAACACAAGACTGTACCTTGGGGGGAGAGCTAGACAACAGAACACAAGACTGTACCTTGAGGGGAAAGCTAGACAACAGAACACAAGACTGTACCTTGAGGGGAAAGCTAGACAACAGAACACAAGACTGTACCTTGGGGGGAGAGCTAGACAACAGAACACAAGACTGTACCTTGGGGGGAGAGCTAGACAACAGAACACAAGACTGTACCTTGGGGGGAGAGCTAGACAACAGAACACAAGACTGTACCTTGAGGGGAGAGCTAGACAACAGAACGGAAGACTGTACCTTGAGGGGATAGCTAGACAACAGAACACAAGGCTGTACCTTGAGGGGATAGCTAGACAACAGAACACAAGACTGTACCTTGGGGGGAGAGGTCTGTGTTCCCGAAGGGGCCCTTCCGGCCGAAAATCTCAAACATTATGATGGCAAAGGAGTACACGTCCCCCTCTTGGGACCCCCGACAGGGGGCGCGCTTGTTCCGCAGGAGTTCCGGGGCTCGCCACAGCTGATCTACAGGAGAACAAAGATCAATGTCAGGAAAGGTGAATGCCATCTTTATCTCAGGATTAATGCAAATGTTGTGTAAACGAAATGTATGTTCAGAACGCCATTGGCTTACCTCTTTAAGTTAATATTAAATACCGACTTTTCGCATCTAAAGGGAGCAGAGCAAAGCCACATTGATACAGCTCCTGCACCCTGGGTTTTTAACGGAATGATGGCCCGCCGACTCACTTCATACAACCCGGTGTTACATGAAACTCGCGGACTGGTCAACGTAGTGTAGGCCACGGGTGTGACATGGATGTCACACACAGTAGGCATGCTCAGTAGGCATGTACAGTGTGGGTCCACTGACAGGTGACAGATATACAACTGGGCGTATAGAAGAGGTTGTTTATTATACACCCATGTAAACTTAGGATAGTCATACAGGGGTGCCATACGGATGACGTGGTCCAATTCCGTATTGCACCCTAGATTCCGTAATGCGGAAGTATCGAGCGGCGTGAAAATATGCATCGCTACGCTAATGATTTGTTTCATTAAGTGACAGATTAATGCAAGATAAGAGGATATATAATAAATATAGAACGTCATACTAGTGCATTCGGATGGTCTGATTGAACTCGAAGATGTCACGGGAGCAGAGAAACAACTCGTTCTTTGACTCGTTGTTTCTCGTCTCCATGACATCTTCGAGTTCAATACAAAACACCCAAATGCACTAGTATGACGTTCTATATATGTACTGTACATGCACTTTGGGCACATCTACAGCAGGAATACACGTATACACGCCACGCCACGCAACGCAACGCAACGCAACGCCACGCCACGCAACGCCAAGCCACGCCACGCTCTCACAGAATATAATGTAGTTTATTCTCCACGACATTATACTATGTACTGTAACACTTTCAAAGTGGATCGTATATGAAGGAAGAAAATCTAATTCCCCCGTTGGCACGTGGCAATATGCATTAATTGTACAGCCTCCTCAATAGATTGAACATACGTCAGTATACTATGAGTCAGTGTATGCTTGTCGCGGCGTATTATAATGGACTCGAGTCTCCAGACAGCGAATTATATAACCCTGGAACTGCACAATCTATGCATCAGCTGCTGATCTGAATACTATAGAACCTCTTCTCGTGCCTCACCTCTGCAATCTTTGAATTACCAGCCGTGCAAATCACTTGCGAGGGACGGTCGTCCTAATACATATCTCACGGGATGGCAAACTAAAATCTTGTTATTGGATCATTTGTCTGCAGCTGTTAATCGCCCATCACATGCATGTTTCATAGTATAATTTACTAGCGATGTCTTTCTTTGACACTTGTAGTAGGATGGGTGATGTGATCTCGCGGCGTCATTCTTTGACAGTAATGGTAAGATGTGTGATATCTTTCTTTCACAGTTATGGTAAGATGCGTAATATCTTTCTTGGACAGTTATGGTAAGATGTGTGATATCTTTCTTGGACAGTTATGGTAAGATGTGTGATATCTTTCTTGGACAGTTATGGAAAGATGTGTGATATCTTTCTTGGACAGTAATGGTAAGATGTGTGATATCTTCCTTTGACAGTTATGGTAAGATGTGTGATATCTTTCTTTGACAGTAATGGTAAGATGTGTGATATCTTTCTTTGACAGTTATGGTAAGATGTGTGATATCTTTCTTCTACAGTTGTAGAATGTGAGATTTCCACTTACGTTATCTTTTTGTGACAATTGTGCTTAGATCTGTAATATCATCTTCTGGTGTCTTTATTTGACATTTGTAATACGATGTGTGATATCCATAGGCGCTGTCTTCCTTTGACAAGGGTTTAGGTAAGATGTGTGACATCCGCTGGCAGTTGGATACATACCGCCGTCGGTAAGACACATCTTGTTTTGTAATAAGATATGTTGGCACTGTATTCCACAGTCATATATGTTGGGTATGTGATATGCGTCGGCGGTGTCTGTATTCCACAGTCATATGTTGGGTATGTGACATGCGTCGGCGGTGTCTATATTCCACAGTCATATATGTTGGGTATGTGATATGCGTCGGCGATGTCTGTATTCCACAGTCATATATGTTGGGTATGTGATATGCGTCGGCGGTGTCTGTATTCCACAGTCATATATGTTGGGTATGTGATATGCGTCGGCGGTGTCTATATTCCACAGTCATATATGTTGTGTATGTGATATGCGTCGGTGGTGTCTACATTCCACTGTCATGTATGTTGGGTATGTGATATGCGTCGGCGGTGTCTATATTCCACTGTCATGTATGTTGGGTATGTGATATGCGTCGGTGGTGTCTATATTCCACTGTCATGTATGTTGGGTATGTGATATGCGTCGGCGGTGTCTATATTCCACTGTCATATGTTGGGTATGTGATATGCGTCGGTGGTGTCTATATTCCACTGTCATGTATGTTGGGTATGTGATATGCGTCGGTGGTGTCTATATTCCACTGTCATGTATGTTGGGTATGTGATATGCGTCGGCGGTGTCTATATTCCACTGTCATATATGTTGGGTATGTGATATGCGTCGGTGGTGTCTATATTCCACTGTCATGTATGTTGGGTATGTGATATGCGTCGGCGGTGTCTATATTCCACTGTCATATATGTTGGGTATGTGATATGCGTCGGTGGTGTCTATATTCCACTGTCATATATGTTGTGTATGTGATATGCGTCGGCGATGTCTATATTCCACAGTCATATGTGTTGTGTATGTGATATGCGTCGGTGGTGTCTATATTCCACTGTCATATATGTTGTGTATGTGATATGCGTCGGCGGTGTCTATATTCCACAGTCATATATGTCTAGTATGTGATATGCGTCGGCGATGTCTGTATTCCACAGTCATATATGTTGTGTATGTGATATGCGTCGGCGGTGTCTATATTCCACAGTCATATATGTTGGGTATGTGATATGCGTCGGCGGTGTCTATATTCCATTCCACTGTCATATATGTTGTGTATGTGATATGCGTCGGCGGTGTCTATATTCCACTGTCATATATATATGTCTAGTATGTGATATGCGTCGGCGATGTCTGTATTCCACAGTCATATATGTTGGGTATGTGATATGCGTCGGCGGTGTCTATATTCCACTGTCATATATGTTGGGTATGTGATATGCGTCGGTGGTGTCTATATTCCACTGTCATATATGTTGGGTATGTGATATGCGTCGGCGGTGTCTATATTCCACCGTCATATATGTTGGGTATGTGATATGCGTCGGTGGTGTCTATATTCCACTGTCATATATGTTATGTATGTGATATGCGTCGGCGGTGTCTATATTCCACTGTCATATATGTTGGGTATGTGATATGCGTCGGTGGTGTCTATATTCCACCGTCATATATGTGTGATGCGTCAGCATATGCGTCGGCGATGTCTATATTCCACAGTCATATATGTTGTGTATGTGATATGCGTCGGTGGTGTCTATATTCCACTGTCATATATGTTGTGTATGTGATATGCGTCGGCGGTGTCTATATTCCACAGTCATATATGTCTAGTATGTGATATGCGTCGGCGATGTCTGTATTCCACAGTCATATATGTTGTGTATGTGATATGCGTCGGCGGTGTCTATATTCCACAGTCATATATGTTGGGTATGTGATATGCGTCGGCGGTGTCTATATTCCACTGTCATATATGTTGTGTATGTGATATGCGTCGGCGGTGTCTATATTCCACTGTCATATATGTCTAGTATGTGATATGCGTCGGCGATGTCTGTATTCCACAGTCATATATGTTGGGTATGTGATATGCGTCGGCGGTGTCTGTATTCCACAGTCATTTTAGCTATGCGATGTATTCTGGTGCAGTCCCTGTTTTGGAGTCATGGGGTGCACCGATCGGGGAATCTCAACATTTACTGTGATCACAGTTCAGAATTAGAATACCATGCAAACATTAACTGCAGATCATTTCAACAAATATTGTATAGCCCTTTTACTAGTGGTTGCTATTGAATTTCGCATTTGCAGAGAAATCAATAAACATTTATACCGTGTGTGTTTACCTCACATTCCTTGTTACCGGAGCCTGGAGTGCACGTGTCACTGGCCTTGAAATAGTGAAAATATAATGGCCGTGGAATTAACTGTCAATAACTCGACTGATAATCACCCGTGTGACGTACTCCTCACACTGCCGGTTAACCGCCATGCTGGGTTTAATAGCAATCTGGGCTGTGCATCTTTCTCCGCGTGTTTCCACACTGCACGATAATACCAAGAGGAACATCTTCAATAATAAATTTGCAAGACATCTGTTGTTCTTTCGTTTCGCCGCATCATAAACATGGTACAGAGAACAACTTTGTCAACGTCTTGTGTAACAATGCACCAAGTGACCGCCAGATCTGTTACAATCGGTTACATCACACCTTACACATCAAGAAACCCCTTAAAATAATACACACCATTCTTAATATGTACTTACTTCGGTAGATGGCGTAGTCCCCAATGTCGTCCTCAGCCCCCGACACAAACTCATGCAGACCAAAGTCTGTGATCTTCAGGACCCATCGGCTGTCCACTACACAGTTGGACGACTTGAGCTTGCCATGGCTCTTCATCTCACTGTCGTGCAGATAGATCATACCCTGCAATATATAAAACACTGTTGTACAGGTAAATCATACCCTGCAACATATAAAACACTGTCGTGCAGGTAGATCATACCCTGCAATACATAAAACACTGTTGTACAGATAGATCATACCCTGCAATATATAAAACTCTGTCGTGCAGGTAGATCATAACCTGCAACATATAAAACACTGCCGTGCAGGTAAATCATACCCTGCAACATATAAAACACTGCCGTGCAGGTAGATCATACCCTGCAAGATATAAAACACTGCCGTGCAGGTAGATCATACCCTGTAATATATAAAACACTGCCGTGCAGGTAGATTATACCCTGCAACATATAAAACACTGCCGTGCAGGTAGATCATACCCTGCAAGATATAAAACACTGCCGTGCAGGTAGATCATACCCTGCAATACATAAAATTCTGTCGTGCAGGTAGATCATACCCTGCAATATATAAAACACTGCCGTGCAGGTAGATCATACCCTGCAACATATAAAACACTGCCGTGCAGGTAGATCATACCCTGCAACATATAAAACACTGCCGTGCAGGTAGATCATAACCTGCAAGATATAAAACACTACCGTGCAGGTAGATCATACCCTGCAATACATAAAATTCTGTCGTGCAGGTAGATCATACCCTGCAACATATAAAACACTTCCGTGCAGGTAGATCATACCCTGCAAGATATAAAACACTGCCGTGCAGGTAGATCATACCCTGCAAGATATAAAACACTGCCGTGCAGGTAGATCATACCCTGCAATATATAAAATTCTGTCGTGCAGGTAGATCATACCCTGCAACATATAAAACACTGCCGTGCAGGTAGATCATACCCTGCAAGATATAAAACACTGCCGTGCAGGTAGATCATACCCTGCAAGATATAAAACACTGCCGTGCAGGTAGATCATACCCTGCAATACATAAAATTCTGTCGTGCAGGTAGATCATACCCTGCAACATATAAAACACTGCCGTGCAGGTAGATCATACCCTGCAAGATATAAAACACTGCCGTGCAGGTAGATCATAACCTGCAAGATATAAAACACTGCCGTGCAGGTAGATCATATCCTGCAATACATAAAATTCTGTCGTGCAGGTAGATCATACCCTGCAACATATAAAACACTGCCGTGCAGGTAGATCATACCCTGCAAGATATAAAACACTGCCGTGCAGGTAGATCATACCCTGCAATATATAAAACACTGCCGTGCAGGTAGATCATACCCTGCAATACATATAAAAAATTCTGTCGTGCAGGTAGATCATACCCTGCAACATATAAAACACTGCCGTGCAGATCATAGATCATACCCTGCAATACATAAAATTCTGTCGTGCAGGTAGATCATAACCCTGCAACATATAAAACACTGCCGTGCAGGTAGATCATACCCTGCAATATATAAAACACTGCCGTGCAGGTAGATCATACCCTGCAACATATAAAACACTGCCGTGCAGGTAGATCATACCCTGCAAGATATAAAACACTGCCGTGCAGGTAGATCATACCCTGCAATATATAAAACACTGCCGTGCAGGTAGATCATACCCTGCAACATATAAAACACTGCCGTGCAGGTAGATCATACCCTGCAAGATATAAAACACTGCCGTGCAGGTAGATCATACCCTGCAATATATAAAATTCTGTCGTGCAGGTAGATCATACCCTGCAATATATAAAACACTGCCGTGCAGGTAGATCATACCCTGCAACATATAAAACACTGCCGTGCAGGTAGATCATACCCTGCAACCATATAAAACACTGCCGTGCAGGTAGATCATACCCCTGCAAGATATAAAACACTACCGTGCAGGTAGATCATACCCTGCAATACATAAAATTCTGTCGTGCAGGTAGATCATACCCTGCAACATATAAAACACTTCCGTGCAGGTAGATCATACCCTGCAAGATATAAAACACTGCCGTGCAGGTAGATCATACCCTGCAAGATATAAAACACTGCCGTGCAGGTAGATCATACCCTGCAATACATAAAATTCTGTCGTGCAGGTAGATCATACCCTGCAATATATAAAACACTGCCGTGCAGGTAGATCATACCCTGCAACATATAAAACACTGCCGTGCAGGTAGATCATACCCTGCAACCTATAAAACACTGCCGTGCAGGTAGATCATACCCTGCAAGATATAAAACACTACCGTGCAGGTAGATCATACCCTGCAATATATAAAACACTGCCGTGCAGGTAGATCATACCCTGCAACATATAAAACACTGCCGTGCAGGTAGATCATACCCTGCAAGATATAAAACACTGCCGTGCAGGTAGATCATACCCTGCAAGATATAAAACACTGCCGTGCAGGTAGATCATACCCTGCAATATATATAAAATTCTGCCGTGCAGGTAGATCATACCCTGCAACATATAAAACACTGCCGTGCAGGTAGATCATACCCTGCAAGATATAAAACACTGCCGTGCAGGTAGATCATACCCTGCAATATATAAAACACTGCCGTGCAGGTAGATCATACCCTGCAACATATAAACACTGCCGTGCAGGTAGATCATACCCTGCAATATATAAAACACTGCCGTGCAGGTAGATCATACCCTGCAATATATAAAACACTGCCGTGCAGGTAGATCATACCCTGCAAGATATAAAACACTGCCGTGCAGGTAGATCATACCCTGCAACATATAAAACACTGCCGTGCAGGTAGATCATACCCTGCAATACATAAAACACTACCGTGCAGGTAGATCATACCCTGCAATATATAAAACACTGCCGTGCAGGTAGATCATACCCTGCAATATATAAAACACTGCCGTGCAGGTAGATCATACCCTGCAATATATAAAACACTTCCGTGCAGGTAGATCATACCCTGCAAGATATAAAACACTGCCGTGCAGGTAGATCATACCCTGCAATATATAAAACACTGCCGTGCAGGTAGATCATACCCTGCAATATATAAAACACTGCCGTGCAGGTAGATCATACCCTGCAAGATATAAAACACTGCCGTGCAGGTAGATCATACCCTGCAACATATAAAACACTGCCGTGCAGGTAGATCATACCCTGCAATACATAAAACACTACCGTGCAGGTAGATCATACCCTGCAATATATAAAACACTACCGTGCAGGTAGATCATACCCTGCAATATATAAAACACTGCCGTGCAGGTAGATCATACCCTGCAAGATATAAAACACTGCCGTGCAGGTAGATCATACCCTGCAAGATATAAAACACTGCCGTGCAGGTAGATCATACCCTGCAATACATAAAATTCTGTCGTGCAGGTAGATCATACCCTGCAACATATAAAACACTGCCGTGCAGGTAGATCATACCCTGCAAGATATAAAACACTGCCGTGCAGGTAGATCATACCCTGCAAGATATAAAACACTGCCGTGCAGGTAGATCATAACCTGCAACATATAAAACACTGCCGTGCAGGTAGATCGTAACCCTGCAACATATAAAACACTGCCGTGCAGGTAGATCATACCCTGCAATACATAAAATTCTGTCGTGCAGGTAGATCATACCCTGCAATACATAAAATTCTGTCGTGCAGGTAGATCATACCCTGCAACATATAAAACACTACCGTGCAGGTAGATCATACCCTGCAATACATAAAACACTGTCGTGCAGGTACCCTGCAAGATCATACCCTGCAAGATCATATAAAAACACTGCCGTGCAGGTAGATCATACCCTGCAACATATAAAACACTGCCGTGCAGGTAGATCATACCCTGCAAGATATAAAACACTGCCGTGCAGGTAGATCATACCCTGCAATACATAAAACACTGCCGTGCAGGTAGATCATACTGCCCTGCAACATATAAAACACTGCCGTGCAGGTAGATCATACCCTGCAAGATATAAAACACTGCCGTGCAGGTAGATCATAACCTGCAAGATATAAAACACTGCCGTGCAGGTAGATCATACCCTGCAATATATAAAAACTTGTCGCAGGTAGATCATACCCCTGCAACATATAAAACACCGCCGTGCAGGTAGATCATACCCTGCAACATATAAAACACTGCCGTGCAGGTAGATCATACCCTGCAACATATAAAACACTGCCGTGCAGGTAGATCATACCCTGCAAGATATAAAACACTGCCGTGCAGGTAGATCATACCCTGCAATACATAAAATTCTGTCGTGCAGGTAGATCATACCCTGCAACATATAAAACACTGCCGTGCAGGTAGATCATACCCTGCAATATATAAAATTCTGTCGTGCAGGTAGATCATAACCTGCAACATATAAAACACTGCCGTGCAGGTAGATCTTACCCTGCAATATATAAAACACTGCCGTGCAGGTAGATCATACCCTGCAACATATAAAACACTGCCGTGCAGGTAGATCATACCCTGCAAGATATAAAACACTGCCGTGCAGGTAGATCATACCCTGCAATATATAAAACACTACCGTGCAGGTAGATCATACCCTGCAATATATAAAACACTACCGTGCAGGTAGATCATACCCTGCAACATATAAAACACTGCCGTGCAGGTAGATCATACCCTGCAAGATATAAAACACTGCCGTGCAGGTAGATCATACCCTGCAAGATATAAAACACTGCCGTGCAGGTAGATCATACCCTGCAATACATAAAATTCTGTCGCAGGCAGGTAGATCATACCCCGTGCAGGCAACATATAAACACCTGCCGTGCAGGTAGATCATACCCTGCAATACATAAAACACTGCCGTGCAGGTAGATCATACCCTGCAACATATAAACACTGCCGTGCAAACAACTAAAACACTGCCGTGCAGGTAGATCATACCCTGCAATATATAAAACACTGCCGTGCAGGTAGATCATACCCTGCAATATATAAAACACTGCCGTGCAGGTAGATCATACCCTGCAAGATATAAAACACTGCCGTGCAGGTAGATCATACCCTGCAACATATAAAACACTGCCGTGCAGGTAGATCATACCCTGCAATACATAAAACACTACCGTGCAGGTAGATCATACCCTGCAATATATAAAACACTCACCGTGCAGGTAGATCATACCCTGCAATATAAAAACACTGCCGTGCAGGTAGATCATACCCTGCAAGATATAAAACCGTGCAGGTAGATCATACCCTGCAAGATATAAAACACTGCCGTGCAGGTAGATCATACCCTGCAAGATATAAAACACTGCCGTGCAGGTAGATCATACCCTGCAAACATATAAAACACTGCCGTGCAGGTAGATCATACCCTGCAACATATAAAACACTGCCGTGCAGGTAGATCATACCCTGCAAGATATAAAACACTGCCGTGCAGGTAGATCATACCCTGCAAGATATAAAACACTGCCGTGCAGGTAGATCATACCCTGCAATATATAAAACACTGCCGTGCAGGTAGATCGTAACCCTGCAACATATAAAACACTGCCGTGCAGGTAGATCATACCCTGCAATACATAAAACACTACCGTGCAGGTAGATCATACCCTGCAACATATAAAACACTGCCGTGCAGGTAGATCATACCCTGCAACATATAAAACACTGCCGTGCAGGTAGATCATACCCTGCAACATATAAAACACTGCCGTGCAGGTAGATCATACCCTGCAACATATAAAACACTGCCGTGCAGGTAGATCATACCCTGCAACATATAAAACACTGCCGTGCAGGTAGATCATACCCTGCAACATATAAAACACTGCCGTGCAGGTAGATCATACCAAGCTATATGACAATGTTTGTATGCACATGAGCTGTATTTCCGTCGATATACCAAACACACTGCAGTGTACAATGCAAGTCTATATACTGTATACATTACACACTGTGTGTCTAATTCACAGATGATTAGTTGGCCCATATACTGGTCTGTGGAACACACTTATTATATCATGATGTAATTCCTCAGTATCAGGGCGGTCGCTTACACGTGCTACACAAATATGGTTTACATTGTACATCTAAGTGTCTACATTATCTTGACATTGCCACTGTCGCGTTGACTGGCATCGTGGAGCACAAGAAGATCATTTGACAAGGCCAACATTGATAACTGACATCCGAGTTTTACCAACTCTCCCCTGGATGCATCAGCGCCTCAGCCTTGTGATAGCCGATCGACCCTTGCCATCAACGAATGGGGATGTCATCAGTATTCTGACCCTTCAGATGTCAGAGGAAGGAACAGACGTGCCAGTGTATGTATAGAGACTTCAGCCGTGCACAGATGTCAGGCCACTTTCCGAACGATGAATCCCCTCAACGACCTGGTCATATGACTTCTGTGTTAATATGTGGTGTGTGGAGTTTGACGGTGTGGAATCTGCTGTGTTGAGGTGTGGCGTGTGGAGTTTGACGGTGTGGAATCTGTAGTGTGGAGGTGTTCTGTGTGGAGTTTTCAAGGTGTGGAATCTGCTGTGTTAATATGTGGTGTGTGGAGTTTGACGGTGTGGTATCTGCTGTGTTGAGTGTGGAGTGAAGGTGTGGATCGGTGTGGAATCTGCTGTGTTGAGGTGTGGGTGTGGAGTTTGAAGGTGATGGAATCTGCTGTGTTGAGGTGTGGTGTGTGGAGTTGTGAGTTTGAAGGTGTGGTATCTGCTGTGTTGAGGTGTGGTGTGTGGAGTTTGAAGGTGTTTGTGGTGGAGTTTGAAGGTGTGGAATCCTGCTGTGTTGAGGTGTGGTGTGGAGTTTTGAAGGTGTGGAATCTGCTGTGTTGAGGTGTGTGTGTGGAGTTTGAAGGTGTGGAATCTGTAGTGTTGAGGTGTGGTGTGTGGAGTTTGAAGGTGTGGAATCTGCAGTGTGTTGAGGTGTGGTGTGTGAGGTGTGGAATCTGCCTGTGTTGAGGTGTGGCGAGTGGGTGGAATCTGCAGTGTTGGGGTGTGGTGTGGAGTTTTGAAGGTGTGGAATGCTGCAGAGTTTTGAGGGAGTTTTGGGGTAAGGTGTGGAATCTGCTGTGTTGAGGGTGTCTGTGTGTTGGAGTTTTGAAGGTGTGGAATCTGCAGGTGTGTTGAGGTGTTTTGTGTGGAGTTTGACGGTGTGGAATCTGCAGTGTTGAGTTCTGGTGTGTGGAGTTTTGAAGGCGTGGTGTGAGGAGATTATCACCCAGACGATAATGGAGGGGATAATGGAGGGGATAATGGAGGGGATAATAGAGGGGATACCCAGGTAACACAGACGGGGGATACTCACCCTGACGACATCAAATACGAGGGAGGCGATAAACATAGAGTCCAGCTGCATATCGTCATTCTCCAGGATGTCCTGAAGTAGTAACAGTGAACTTTATTACGATATTTGGTTGGGTGCGATCGACGGCAGATCGTTAGGTTTTGAAGAAAATCCATGAGCTGTATAACAGAGATTATGAGGGTTGAAGGGGACGCTTGTCTAAACTAACATGGAACAAATCGCTATTTTCAGGTCGAATCCGAAATTCACACTGAAGGTCAACGGACTCTGGTACCGCTACGGGGGGCAACTCTTTACTGCCCTCAAAAAGGTCCACGCGCTATTCTTCATGAAGTTAGCAACTGTTTGGTTTAATGTGCATGTACGCATATCTTCCAGTTATCAAGCATTCAGTTTCCTCTAATCTTCATATCGGCTCTTGACAAGCTAGCTCCTTTGCTTTTCCCATAATGAGTGTTTCCTATCTGTCATGAAGAATAATCAGATTCGTGAGAGAGACTCCTGAGAAGAGATTGCAAGACACCAGGTGTTCTCTCACCTACCGGGTGGTCAGCGCACTAGCAGTAAAGGTTGAACTTGGTAGTAGCCCTATTGGCGTTACAAAAACTACTGAAACACATTTCTGTTAAATATAACTGTATAACGTGGAGTTTTGCGAAATAAAAAACAAACAATGTACGCAGCAGCAACTGCTTGCTCTCAGGATGAGTTTCAGCTGATATGAGCAGGGTTTTTCAGCATTCACCCGATGGCGATGTTCGTACCGGTTCAATATTGAAGGAAATGTGAATCAATGTATCTGATAACATGAAAACCTTGGACTACAACAGGCTGGGAGAACACAAACTGAGGGTGAGAGACACTTCTGGCATGTGGGACTCACTTGTAAACTCCCCCTGGCGCAATACGCCGTGATGACGAGGATGTGGGGGGAGTCGATGCAGGCCCCGATGAAGGGGTTCAGGTTGTCGTGTCGCAGCTCCCGAATCTATAAACGAGATCAAAACATCACATGAAAACGTCTTCAGTGTTCTTGTCCTGGTCAGTCAACTGACAACTAGTATGGTTTGAGGTGGGTCTTCCAGTGGCCAGTTTCTTTCCAGCCATCATAACGTCATAATCATGAGTGTCAGGATTTCGCAGATGAATCTGCATACAGATCTGTTGCTAGCACACTCTAGAGGGCAGTGATAAGTTGGCATATGTAGGCTGCCAAATGATGTCTGTGTGTTAAATATGTATCTTGGCTTGAGGGGCACAATGGCGACACATGACCTATTGTGCGATAGTGTGTCTCGACGTCAGTGGCCGCGGCCACTACAGCAACACTGAGGGAGGAGGGTGCTCCATACACGGTCATGGTCACCACATCAACCTGTCACTGGGACTGGCAGAGATAGTTTAAAGTGAATGTTCAAACACATCACTTCGCTCTTTCCTCTAGCACTCTTGTCCCACACGTCATTTTACTCACAATCTTTAATTCCTTCCGTATATTCCTTGTTAACTCCACGTGTTTTTTGTTGATCTTCCTGATGGCGACGATGGTGCCTCGATATGTGCCCACGTGTGTAAACAGCTGCCGGGTGTCGAAGTCGGCCTGGGACGTCAGCGATATCTGACTGCCGCTCTTACATAAGGGGTTGCACTGAAACAGAGACGTACAGGTCTACACAGAGAGAAGGGAGAAGTATGTGTCATTGCAGAGGGAGAGGCATATGTCATTGCAGAAGAAGAAGTATGTGTCATTGTGGACGAAGAAGTATGTGTCATTGTGGAGGAAGAGGTATGTGTTATTGCTGAGGGAGAAGTATGTGTCATTACATAGGGAGAAGTATGTGTAATTGCTGAGAGAGAAGTATGTGTAATTGCTGAGGGAGAAGTATCTGTCATTACATAGGGAGAAGTATGTGTCATTGTGGAGGAAGAAGTATGTGTCATTACATAGGGAGAAGTATGTGTCATTGACGAGGGAGAAGTATGTGTCATTGACGAGGGAGAAGTACGTCTCATTGCTGAGAGAGACGTATGTATCCGCTTTACTAAGAGAGAAGTATGTGTCATTGCTGAGGGAGAAGTATGTGTCATTGCTGAGGGAGAAGTATGTGTCATTGCTGAAAGAGAAGTATGTGTCATTACATAGGGAGAAGTATGTGTCATTGGATAGGGAGAAGTATGTGTCATTGCTGAAGGAGAAGTATGTGTCATTACATAGGGAGAAGTATGTGTCATTACATAGGGAGAAGTATGTGTCATTACATAGGGAGAAGTATGTGTCGTAACATAGGGAGAAGTATGTGTCGTTACATAGGGAGAAGTATGTGTCGTTACATAGGGAGAAGTATGTGTCATTGCTCAGAGAGAAGTATGTGTCATTGCTGAATGAGAAGTATGTGTCATTACATAGGGAGAAGTATGTGTCATAACATAGGGAGAAGTATGTGTCATTACATATGGAGAAGTATGTGTCGTTACATAGGGAGAAGTATGTGTCATTGCTGAGGGAGAAGTATGTGTCATTACATAGGGAGAAGTATGTGTCGTTACATAGGGAGAAGTATGTGTCATTACATATGGAGAAGTATGTGTCGTTACATAGGGAGAAGTATGTGTAGTTTCATAGGGAGAAGTATGTGTCGTTACATAGGGAGAAGTATGTGTCATTGCTCAGGGAGAAGTATGTGTCATTACATAAGGAGAAGTATGTGTCGATACATATGGAGAAGTATGTGTCGTTACATAGGGAGAAGTATGTGTAATTACATATGGAGAAGTATGTGTCGTTACATAGGGAGAAGTATGTGTCGTTACATAGGGAGAAGTATGTGTCGTTACATAGGAGAAGTATGTGTCGTTACATAGGGAGAAGTATGTGTCGTTACATAGAGAAGTATGTGTCGTTACATAGGGAGAAGTATGTGTCGTTACATAGGGAGAAGTATGTGTCGTTACATAGGGAGAAGTATGTGTCGTTACATAGGGAGAAGTATGTGTCATTGCTCAGGGAGAAGTATGTGTCATTGCTCAGGGAGAAGTATGTGTCATTGCTGAAAGAGAAGTATGTGTCATTACATAGGGAGAAGTATGTGTTCATTACATAGGGAGAAGTATGTGTCGTTACATAGGGAGAAGTATGTGTCATTGGATAGGGAGAAGTATGTGTCATTGCTTAAAGAGAAGTATGTGTCATTACATAGGGAGAAGTATGTGTCATTGCTGAAGGAGAAGTATGTGTCATTACATATGGAGAAGTATGTGTCATTACATATGGATAAGTATGTGTCATTACATAGGGAGAAGTATGTGTCATTACATAAGGAGAAGTATGTGTCGTTACATAGGGAGAAGTATGTGTCGTTACATAGGGAGAAGTATGTGTCATTACATATGGAGAAGTATGTGTCATTACATAGGGAGAAGTATGTGTCGTTACATATGGAGAAGTATGTGTCGTTACATAGGGAGAAGTATGTGTCGTTAGATAGGAGAAGTATGTGTCGTTACATGGGAGAATGTGTCTCAGGGAGAAGTATGTGTCGTTACATAGGGAGAAGTATGTGTCGTTACATAGGGAGAAGTATGTGTCGTTACATAGGGAGAAGTATGTGTCATTGTGGAGGGAGTAGTATGTGTCAGTGCTTAGAGAGAAGTATGTGTCAGTGCTTAGAGAGAGGTATGTGTCATCGCTGAGGGAGAAGTATGTGTCTCAGTAGAAAATGTAAGAGTTTTATCCACTGGTTAAAACGAAGTTAAAATGCCCAGGACAAGAACAACAAAACCCTCACGTGATATGTTTTCACAATGAAAAATGACGATATCTGCCCGGCACCTACCTTGCCACACTCCGGCGCAGTGATGACTTAGCATAACATCACTGCCACAGGCTAATTTGCATATCACGTGATCGGACTTTTCTCTTGTTTGTAAACAAACGCGCATATTCATAATTAGAAGAGACTAGCCTTACGAAAGCTTTTCGGCGCGCTCTTTACAATGTTTTACATTGTTACATATATATTCTTCCACAACTGCGACAGTAACATTTATGAAGTACATATTTAGACATCAAACTGGTTGCATCGTTTGCTCTCTGTCGGCTTCGATTACAGCCCGTGGAGCCGTACAACCTATGTAAACAAAGGATCGCTACGCAAATCGAAATAGTGTTACATGTTTTAGGATATTTTCTCAGTGAAACTAAACCATTCTATCAAAGCTGTTTAATTAGATGTTTAGGCTCGTCAAAAATAAAAGAGTTAAGAAATATGTACATTATATTGAATGGACGGTGCAAGATGTGACCAATCGTCACATCTTTCTGGCCTGTGGCAGAGGTACTATGCTGGCTGACCGCATGGAACTCTGGGTAGGAGATTGCTACTTTGCCCCGCAGTACTGTACAGACCACCTACCCTGCCCCGCAGTACTGTACAGACCACAAGCCCTGCCCAGCAGAACAGTACTATACAGACCACCTACCCTGCCCCGCAGTACTGTACAGACCACAAGCCCTGCCCAACAGTACTATACAGACCACCTACCTTGCCCCGCAGTACTGTACAGACCACAAGCCCTGCCCTGCAGTACTATACAGACCACCTACCCTGTCCCGCAGTACTGTACAGACCACCTACCCTGCCCTGTCCTGCAGACCACCTACCTTGCCCTGCACTGTACAGACCATCTACCCTGCAGTACCCTCAGTACTGTACAGACCACAGACCACCTACCTTGCCCTTGCCCCGCAGTATTGTACAGAGACCACCAACCCTGCCCCGCAGTACTGTACAGACCACCTACCTTGCCCCGCAGTACTGTACAGCAGCCCATCTACCCTGCCCGCAGTACTGTACAGACCATCTACCCTGCCCCTCAGTACTGTACTGTACAGACCACCTACCTTGCTATACCCGCACTGTGTGTACTGTACAGACCACCAACCCTGCCCCGCAGTACTGTACAGACCACCTACCTTGCCCCGCAGTACTGTACAGACCACCTACCCTGCCCCGCAGTACTGTACAGACCACCTACCCTGCCCCGCAGTACTGTACAGACCACCTACCCTGCCCCGCAGTACTGTACAGACCACCTACCTTGCCCCGCAGTACTGTACAGACCACCTACCCTGCCCCGCAGTACTGTACAGACCACCAACCTTGCCCCGCAGTACTGTACAGACCACCTACCTTGCCCCGTAGTACTGTACAGAGACCACCTACTTTTGCCCGCAGTACTGTACAGACCACCCTTACCCCCCTGTACAGACCACCCACCCTGCCCCGCAGTACTGTACAGACCACTTACCCTGCCCCGCAGTACTGTACAGACCGCCAACTGTGCCCCGCAGTACTGTACAGACCACCTACTTTACCCCGCAGTACTGTACAGACCACCTACCCTGCCCCGCAGTACTGTACAGACCACCTACCCTGCCCCGCAGTACTGTACAGACCACCTACACCTACTTTGCCCCGCAGTACTGTACAGACCACCTACCTTGCCCCGCAGTACTGTACAGACCACCTACCTTGCCCCGCAGTACTGTACAGACCACCTACCTTGCCCCGCAGTACTGTACAGACCACCTACCTTGCCCCGCAGTACTGTACAGACCACCTACTTTTCCCCGCAGTACTGTACAGACCACCTACCCTGTCCGCAGTACTGTAGAGACCACCTACCTTGCCCCACTGTACTGTACAGACCACCTACCTTGCCCCGCTGGCCTCCATGAGACGGGTACATGTTGTCGCTAAACTGTAGATCCTTGAAGTCAATCTTCCACAGCAGACTGGCAAGTTCTTGTTCATAGGACCAGTTACTGTAGACACAGGGATAGTTGTCAAATGCATTGTCATCTCAATAATATACAAATATCAAATGATACTGAATTTAGAAACAAAGAGGGTGTTGAAGTTTTCTATGATGCCACGAAGCATCAAGAGACCAACTTTAATAAGCTGTCTAAAGTTACACTTTAATTAAAGTATCACTTCATTACACTATTAACCTGTAAAAAGCCTAATTGCTACGCAATACCGTTGCTTCAATGAGAGAGGGGCATATCTTTAAATTTGCTTAACAGAAAGCAAGTAGGTAGTTTGTAGATATAATTACAGACGCGTGTTTATATTCTGGTATGGCAACATAGACACACGATTGACTGGCTAATTGCCTCGGGTAGTGTTTCGTTATGACAACATAGACACATGATAGACATGCTTGTTGCCTCAGGCAATGTTTTGTTATGACAATATGGACACATGATAGACATACTTGTTGCCTCAGGTAATGTTTTGTTATGACAACATAGACACATGATAGACATGCTTGTTGCCTCAGGTAATGTTTTGTTATGACAATATGGACACATGATAGACATGCTTGTTGCCGCAGGTAATATTTTGTTATGACAATATGGACACATGATAGATATACTTGTTGTCTCAGGTAATGTTTTGTTATGACAACATAGACACATGGTAGGCATGCTTGTTGCCTCAGGTAATGTTTTGTTTGACAATATAGACACATGATAGATATACTTGTTGTCTCAGGTAATGTTTTGTTATGACAACATAGACACATAATAGGCATGCTTGTTGCCTCAGGTAATGTTTTGTTATGACAATATGGACACATGATAGACATGCTTGTTGCCGCAGGTAATATTTTGTTATTAAAAGATGGACACATGATAGACATGCTTGTTGCCTCAGGTAATGTTTTGTTATGACAATATGGACACATGATAGACATGCTTGTTGCCTCAGGTAATGTTTTGTTATGACAATATGGACACATGATAGATATACTTGTCGTCTCAGGTAATGTTTTGTTATGACAACATAGACACATGATAGGCATGCTTGTTGCCGCAGGTAATGTTTGGTTATGACAACATAGACACATGATAGGCATGCTTGTTGCCTCAGGTAATGTTTGGTTATGACAACATAGACACATGATAGGCATGCTTGTTGCCTCAGGTAATGTTTGGTTATGACAACATAGACACATGGTAGACATGCTTGTTGCCCCAGGTAATGTTTTGTTATGAGATAAGGACACATGTTTGTCTTTCTAAGTGTTTGGGGTTTGGCATAGACAACATGTGACTGAGGTAAACCTGCGTGTACTCCTTCATGTCCAATAAGTGAACAAGGTGAACTATTTACTCCGGAGAATTTTAGACAAGTGCTGCCAATGAATCCCATTAACCTCATCAATGGCCCCGCTTACATCCCTAATGGTCTCACTACTGATGGACTCCGTCTTCAGAAGAAAGTGAAGGCCCCATGGGATCACCTCTACATCATTTTCATTTTCTTCAGCATGCTACACGGGGAATAACATCCTCCTGATAGGGTTTCTGATAAGAGTTTAAGCTGCACTACATGACTGCTTGACGGTGAAGAGCGTGTGTTCAGTGTTCATGCAGGAGGTGGGTTACGGTACAATCAATTTCCACACATGCCGTCAAGTCTGCCGAAACTAAGAGACCTTTATAATCGAAACAGCCTTAGATCCACATGAGTTGGAGATAATTAGGACTGTATTATTGCGAAGAACTTGCAATACTATGCCACAAAAGATCTTTAGGCCTGTAATGATGCGATTAAACGAGAAAGGCGATATTTAAAACACTATAACCATTTCACATTAAAAGATTAGAAAAAATGTACATGAAGGGGAACGACATCAGGGCTCTATTCAGTTGAGAAGCATTAGGTGTTTTGGAGCCAGAGATATACGATGAATATAGCCTCGCATACAAGTTATTCTATAGCCCATGGTCGTGATAAGAATGGACAATAGCGCAGATCACGGTTCTTCGGTGTCCATATTCAATTCGTTATAACCTGCTCTGCCAGATCCGACTCGATAGATGTCTTGAATTGTGGCTCTCAAATATCCGACTGATCCGTTTTTTGTGGAGAAATTGTAAATGAGGCTGTCCTTTATGATGAAATTGTAAATGCATGTGTGAGGGCTATTCTTTATGGGCCATGGTGCTATATATTTATTGTATGTTAGGCGATAACCACCGCATGTGTGAGGCTACACCCTACCCCTATACGAGGCTGCAGCATACCGTATATGGGGCTGTAACCTACTGGTATACGAGGCTGCAGCATACCGTATATGGGGCTGTAACCTACTGGTATACGAGGCTGCAGCATACCGTATATGGGGCTGTAACCTACTGGTATACGAGGCTGCAGCATACCGTATATGGGGCTGTAACCTACTGGTATACGAGGCTGCAGCATACCGTATATGGGGCTGTAACCTAATGGTATACGAGGCTGTAAGGTACCGTATATGGGGCTGTAACCTACTGGTATACGAGGCTGTAACTTACCGGTATATGAGGTAGCCTACCAAGGACCCCACCAGCAGGATGCCCCCGGCCACTCCGCTCAGAATCTCCCGTGTGTAAGCTAGGATAGAAAGAAAAACTCAAAAAAGTCCAAATATTTGTGTTAAACACTAGCATGCAGAAAGGCTATGTAATACATGACTATAAATAGGCACCTGCAATGACAAACCCAGCTGATTACTGATTTTGACCCATCTGATGAAACAAACAAGGCGAGAGTTCAACTGGAATATACCACGCCGCTAACATGTGGCGATCATCCTTGGCTTTATCAAGGATGGGAGGACCTCGGTACAGTCAGGTAGAGTCGGGTGGATAGATGGAGGTTGGTGGAGTCGGGTGGAGATGTGTGAAGTAGGGTGTATGAGGGTGTTGTAGGGTGGATGTTGGTGAAGTAGGGTTGAGGCGGGTGGAGTCCAGTGGATGGGTTTAGGTGAGCGGAGACGGGTGGCGGTAGGTGGATGTTGGTGAAGTCGATGGAGCCTGATGGGGATGGGTGGAAGTGGGTGGAGTGCAGTGGATGGGTGGAGGTGAGGGATGTTTGTGAAGTCGGGTGGAGGAGGGTGGATGTCGGTGAAGTCGGGTGGAAGTGGATGGAGTTGGGTGGGGGCGTATTCTTCAGTCTACCAACCCTTCACTGTACTTCGCTGAGTTTGTAGTCGGAGCCCAGTGAACTCCAGAAATGTCCATGTACCGACGGAAACACTAACAGGTAAACAGATTGACCTTGATCTCGAGGTCAGGTTGAGAACCTATTTGATGTTCTACTGAGTGCTGACTTGTCAGGTGTTCAGGCCTTACACGACAGCTCGGAACTGACGCCAACCACAGACCGGGCACTCGTCACACGTCAACATGAGCGTTCATACGTCCGGTGTACAGGCGCATGTACCTCGTCACTGTGTATATCCCTCTAATGCTAACGATGAGCTTCGAGATGGTGTGTGCACTTGAGTGTGGTCATAACGAACATGTATTTTACGTATTTCCCACGTAAACAGTTTGTGTGTTTTGAGGTAGTAATTACCATTTAATGGGGATGAACATTATATGTTTCGAGAACCTACATATATATTTTAATCATCACCCGAGTCAGCGAGCCTAATCACCTGATCACGATTTCTTATGACAATCAAATAGGGATGACACCAACTATTGAGCGTCTCCTGCCCCAGCGGCGGTAGGAGTCACAAACACATGCACAGGCAAGTAAGACTTTTCCGTTAACTTTCAAATTCATTGATGCTTTGAGTACAAAAAAACACTTCCACTAAAATAGTATAGCTTAAAATCTGCATCATGCATAAAAACAAATAACATATCCCCACAGTCCATATTGACACCGTGTGCCAACCTACGTGGAGCCTCGTGCGCTGGTACATGCAGGGGAATCACGTGGTGCGGAGGACAGGGAAGCAGGGTCTAGTGAGTGAGTTTAGTCATGGCCGCTATAAACAGTATTTGAGCAACACATCTACACAAGACGGGGATGGAAGCCCGAGGCAGGCCCTAGAGGTTTACATACTGTACTGACTGATCCAGAACATCGTGAAGTCTGTTGTGACAGACTCTACTGATTGAACCACAACATCGTTAAGTCTGTAGTGGCATACTGTACTGATTGAACCACAACATCGTGAAGTTTGATGTGACATACTGTACTGATTGAACCAGAACATCGTGAAGTCTGTTGTGACATACTGTACTGATTGAACCAGAACATCGTGAAGTCTGTTGTGACATACTGTACTGATTGAACCACAACATCGTGAAGTCTGTAGTGACATACTGTACTGATTGAACCACAACATCGTGAAGTTTGTTGTGACAGACTCTACTGATTGAACCACAACATCGTGAAGTCTGTTGTGACATACTGTACTGATTGAACCAGAACATCGTGAAGTCTGTTGTGACATACTGTACTGATTGAACCACAACATCGTGAAGTCTGTTGTGACATACTGTACTGATTGAACCACAACATCGTGAAGTCTGTAGTGACATACTGTACTGATTGAACCACAACATCGTGAAGTTTGATGTGACATACTGTACTGATTGAACCACAACATCGTGAAGTCTGTTGTGACATACTGTACTGATTGAACTAGAACATCGTGAAGTCTGTTGTGACATACTGTACTGATTGAACCACAACATCGTGAAGTCTGTTGTGACATACTGTACTGATTGAACCAGAACATCGTGAAGTCTGTTGTGACATACTGTACTGATTGAACCACAACATCGTGAAGTCTGTTGTGACATACTGTACTGATTGAACCACAACATCGTGAAGTCTGTAGTGGCATACTGTACTGATTGAACCACAACATCGTGAAGTTTGATGTGACTTACTGTACTGATTGAACCTGAACATCGTGAAGTCTGTTGTGACATACTGTACTGATTGAACCAGAACATCGTGAAGTCTGTTGTGACATACTGTACTGATTGAACCACAACATCGTGAAGTCTGTTGTGACATACTGTACTGATTGAACCACAACATCGTGAAGTCTGTTGTGACATACTGTACTGATTGAACCAGAACATCGAAGTCTGTTGTGACATACTGTACTGATTGCTCCTAGAACATCGTGAAGTCTGTTGTGACATACTGTACTGATTGAACCAGAACATCGAGAAGTCTGTTGTGACATACTGTACTGATTGTACTAAAACATCGTGAAGTGTGTTGTGACATACTGTACTGATTGGACCACAACATCGTGAAGTCTGTTGTGACATACTGTACTGATTGAACTAGAACATCGTGAAGTCTGTTGTGACATACTGTACTGATTGAACTACAACATCGTGAAGTCTGTTGTGGCATCCTGTACTGATTGAACCACAACATCGTGAAGTTTGATGTGACTTACTGTACTGATTGAACCTGAACATCGTGAAGTCTGTTGTGACATACTGTACTGATTGAACTAGAACATCGTGAAGTCTGTTGTGACATACTGTACTGATTGAACCACAACATCGTGAAGTCTGTTGTGACATACTGTACTGATTGAACCAGAACATCGTGAAGTTTGATGTGACTTACTGTACTGATTGAACCTGAACATCGTGAAGTCTGTTGTGACATACTGTACTGATTGAACCACAACATCGTGAAGTCTGTTGTGACATACTGTACTGATTGAACCACAACATCGTGAAGTCTGTTGTGACATACTGTACTGATTGAACCACAACATCGTGAAGTCTGTTGTGACAGACTGTACTGATTGAACCACAACATCGTGAAGTCTGTTGTGACATACTGTACTGATTGAACCACAACATCGTGAAGTCTGTTGTGACATACTGTACTGATTGAACTAGAACATCGTGAAGTCTGTTGTGACATACTGTACTGATTGAACCACAACATCGTGAAGTCTGTTGTGACATACTGTACTGATTGAACCACAACATCGTGAAGTCTGTTGTGACATACTGTACTGATTGAACTAGAACTTCGTGAAGTCTGTTGTGACATACTGTACTGATTGAACCACAACATTGTGAAGTCTGTTGTGACATACTGCATTGATTGAACCACAACATCGTGAAGTCTGTAGTGACATACTGTACTGATTGAACTAGAACATCGTGAAGTCTGTTATGACACACTGCACTGATTGAACCAGAACATCGTGAAGTCTGTTGTGACATACTGTACTGATTGAACTAGAACATCGATAAGTCTGTTTTGACATACTGTACTGATTGTACCACAACATCGTGAAGTCTGTTGTGACATACTGTACCGATTGAACTAGAACATCGTGAAGTCTGTTGTGACATACTGTACTGATTGAACCACAACATCGTGAAGTCTGTTGTGACATACTGTACCGATTGAACTAGAACATCGTGAAGTCTGTTGTGACATACTGTACTGATTGAACCACAACATCGTGAAGTATGTTGTGACAGACTCTACTGATTGTACTAGAACATCGTGAAGTCTGTTGTGACATACTGTACTGATTTAACCACAACATCGTGAAGTGTGTTGTGACATACTGTACTGATTGAACCAGAACATCGTGAAGTCTGTTGTGACATACTGTACTGATTGAACCACAACATCGTGAAGTCTGTAGTGACATACTGTTCCGATTGAACTAGAACATCGTGAAGTCTGTAGTGACATACTGTACTGATTGAACTAGAACATCGTGAAGTTTGATGTGACATACTGTACTGATTGAACCACAACATCGTGAAGTCTGTTGTGACATACTGTACCGATTGAACCAAAACAATGTGAAGTCTCTTGTGACATACTGTACTTACTGAACCAGAACATCGTGAAGTTTGATGCGACATACTGCACTGATTGAACCAGAACATCGTTAAGTCTGTTGTGACATACTGTACTGATTGAACCAGAACATCGTGAAGTCTGTTGTGACATACTGTACTGATTGAACCAGAACATCGTGAAGTTTGTTGTGACATACTGTACTGTACTGATTGAACCACAACATCGTGAAGTCTGTTGTGAAAGACTCTACTGATTAAACCAGAACATCGTTAAGTCTGTAGTGGCATGTACTGATTGAACCACAATATCATTGAAGTTGATGTTACTTACTGTACTGATTGAACCACAACATCGTGAAGTCTGTTGTGACATACTGTACTGATTGAACTAGAACATCGTGAAGTCTGTTGTGACATACTGTACTGATTGAACCTCAAGATCGTCAACATCGTGAAGTCTGAACTTGAACATCGTTAGGTCTGCTGCAAAGGCACACTGCATTGATTGAACTAGAACATCGCGAAGTTTGATGTGACAGACTGTACCGATTGAACCACAACATCGTGAAGTCTGTTGTGATATACTGTACTGATTGAACCAGAACATCGTGAAGTCTGTTGTGACATACTGACTTATTGAACCAGAACATCGTGAAGTTTGATGCGACATATTGTACTGATTGAACCAGAACATCGTGAAGTCTGTTGTGACATACTGTACTGATTGAACCAGAACATCGTGAAGTCTGTTGTGACATACTGTACTGATTGAACCAGAACAT